GATTTTTTGTTGAGGGAGCACTGGTCCAATTGGGTTAAAGCTGAAAGACTATTGCTACAATTTCCCCTTCTTCAATTGTAACTTGAGAGAACTGTCTGAGGGGTTAAGGGAGATGGTATCACTGTACTTGAAGCAAGCTAGATGTCAACCATTGTTGTTTAACAGATGATGAAATCTGTAGAGATCTATGGTGTCTATTTGGAACTGGATGTTGGAAGCCATCATTTTCATAGCCTACCAAGTCTCAATGATCTTTTCAACGCTTGTAACGTCGTTTCTACCCCTCAGATTTTAAGATTAAGAGGTTTCTCGACATATTCAATAGTAAAAGCTTTCAATGGTGACATCTCTAAGTTTCTCGCCAAGATGTGAAAGGTATAATTTCATAAAATATTAGTAGGACGATAAGATTAGAAAACCCTCAATCTGTATATAACTCAAAACCAAACCAAACCAAAAAAACATGGGAATGAGGGCAGTTTGACCATTGCATTTGCACTTGTGTTCTCCACAAAGACACTTCACAAAGATCCGGACAGAATGACTAGAGATGGGTTACAAGCGGTGCCAATATGAGTGCATAAACTCCGGTGACTAAGTTCTTAATCTAAAGGTATCAATAGTGTCACGCCTAGTTTGTCACAATGAGGAAGTAGAAATGGTGCCACTTTATATTTGTAGTTAAACCACAATACATAACTTAAACAATTTACAAGAAGATTAGAACAATGTTTGATGTTCTTTTATGGGAAGTCATTTATATGTTACAACAAAAAAGAAAATTGCAACGGCCAAAGTTTATTTATTTTAATGTAGTAAACATCGACTTTTTTATAAAAAAAAATGAGACCAGCTGGTAGGTTCGTCACTTGTCGGCAGTCCACTCTTCTGGGGACTGGAAAGACTCACAAAAGTATTTCAGCCTTCCCGTAACCTACATAATGCGATTTACCAGTGCTAAGAACTGAACCTAGAACGTGTCATGTGAAATACGGGTCTGAAATTCATCCTCAACCACTCACCCCATTGACACACCCGACCCTGATATTCTCCAAACACTAGGGTAGGCATGTGTTGGCCAACACCCAAAGTTGACAAAGCCATACTAACATGCATGAGAAGTAACTAACATAATTAAAACTTATAAATTTAAATACAATGATTATGTAATTGTGGAACGTGTTCAGAGTATACAACTAATCTAAGATACTAAAAAGGAATAATATAAAATTGAATGAACAAAGAGATGGGTCCTACATTGAGAGGACTCGAAGATGCCGATGCGGAAGTGCCTTGACGCTGGGATTGTACGCCTCGATTCTAAGTCCTGAGGGGGCTTAAAGCAAAACATGAGTGTACCAAGTTGATATATAAGTAATACTCAAACATTTATTTCTCAACGTACTAACCCCCAAAGTTTATGAAAACTCAATAGTATAATATGTAATAGGTTTTCCGAAAACCCTAGCATGACATAAAACCTTCGTAAAACATATATTATATATAGTGTGCTAAGTAGTGGTATCAGTATCACTCGAAGGTATATAGAACACTTCATTTAGAATACTTCATTTAGAACACTTCATTTAGAACACTTCATTCAGAACACTTCATTCGCGCAAAGGTCTTCATTCGCCCTTAGTCTCCTATAGCACCCGTCCGAAGCCATGTATAAATATCAATCGTCTGTAGGTTCTTACAACACCCACGCGAAGGCATTTAAGTATCAATCACCCGTAGGCTCCCACAACACCTACCCAAAGGCATATATAGAAGTATCATTCGGCCGTAGGCAGATTATATGAATATATATATATATATATCTCAAATCGGAGCTTAGTAACTAAAACGTCATATAGTAAAACCACGTTCGTAAGTAGGTATACAGTCATCAATCATATATATCACAAAGAACGTAAAGTCGATATAGCATAATATATTATAAAGTGTAAATCCAATTTACTCATAAACGTTTCATAAAACGTAGCCATTAAATCATGCTTTTCATGTATGCATTTCTACTAATAAAATATACATTTTGGAAGGGGTCCACTCACCTTACACCATTGGCGAAGAGCCATGCAAATAAGGGTCGATAAAAACGTCACTAACAAACGCACCTAAGCACATAAAGGGTCCAATTAATAAAACTCTACCATGATGATTGAATTTTAGAAAATGGACGTCGTAAACGGATTCAAGACATCGAAAAACATAAATGAAGACCTCGGGTACCCCCACGCGCCGCCGCATGCACCACCACTCGCCAATTTGGGTGGCCTAAAAAATCGTCGATGCCGCCGTGGACAACAACGAACCACAGTACCTCCAATAGAGGCACGTGTGCTCCACGCGAAGGCCAAGACAGGTGGCCACGCGCTGCCTTAGAACCTGGGATTGGGCCGGTTCAGTTCTGGGTTTTGAGCTTGGGTTATTTAGGTTTGGGCCTAGAGTTTGGGCCAAGTTTCATGGCCCAAAGGCCTGGTTTGAGCTTTGGGCTTTGGATTCAGTGTTGTTTTCGGGTCGGGTCGACCGAGTCCCCATTGTGAGTCTAGTCGTTGGTTTCTGGGCTGGTTTAGCCGGAATACGTTCCCAAGCTCCGATCGAGCTCGATCTTCCACCATTTTACTCTTAAATTATACCAAAATGAAGATGAAAAGACGAGGGAGTTGAGCCTACCTCACCTAAATAGCATAAGTGGTCGGAGAGGGCTGAGTGCTACACAGGAAGGAAGAAGAAAGAGAAAGAGAGACAGTGCCGGGGACCAAAAAGTGAGGGTGGGCCCCACTAGCACACCAAACATGACCAATCAAAAACCACAATTTAAAATAAAGTATCCCACCCATAGTGAAATTATGAATTTGCCCTCATGTTACGTAATATCTAGGACGGATCGTTACACCGTGGTGGTTAGTAAAGATCAATTCAATGCTATTAGAGTATACTATTTTTAATCTACTTTTTAGTAATAAAATATCTGCCCATCCCTTCTAAAATTTCTAACTTGATTCTAGTTAACGTGATTTCTTGATTTTTATGTCCTTGATTTTGTATAATTTTTTCAAGGGGAAAAAAGTTCGAGTAAAATTACGATTTTTAAGTATGGATGTTTGAAGTTGAATTTAGATGTCGGAAAGGCCCTTCAACTATTCGATAAAACGCCTCGATGGTGTTGTGGTGTGGTTATTTTGGCTTAAAATATTATCCAGTTGAGTCATAGGCTCATAGCGTACTAAAAATTTGTGCATTTTCGAAATGTAGCATTTTAGAAAGATGCATACTGAAGATGTAAGAAAGAAAGGTGTAAATTTACTTTCTTCAATGAAGATGGAAATTTTACTTCTCCTTAAATATTGAGCATAAGAGCATTTAAAATGGAAGATGCAAATTGCCTTGAAATTGGTGTTTACATTTTTATGAAGAAAAAAAAAACCTCCAATTGTAGGATGTAAAATATCCAACTTTGTGCGGGAGATGTAAGTTTATACAATTTTTTTTTCATCTACTGGGGATGATCCCCGCTAACCAAAGGGAAATAATGAATGGAATCCCAAATTTATATATTTCCTATTAGAGTAAAACTAACATTTACATCTCCAATTGGAGATGCTCTTAAGACGACATGGTAGATCAAACTCTTGCCTCCAACATCAAAGGATAAAGTTCAATAGCAACTTACATAACTCAGATACACAATTATTATGGTGTCTCATGCCGATGATTAAAAAGTAATACTATACACACTATTTTCTACCTCTTACACACCTATATTAATTATTATTTTTTAATTTATTCGACTTGACAGTCAAAATTTAAAAAAGACATATAAAAATAAAAAATAAATATATAAATAACACAACCTTAATAAAATTTCATACATAAGTTTTAATTTAACATGACAACGTATCATTAGAATCGCCAGCAGGGTTACAATGCACCGGTGTCACATAAATGAATCATTCCTGTGAATCACAGGCAGCCGAAAAACACGTGGCACTAGAGGGAATCATCACCTGTGATTCAACAGAGTTTGGTAGTAAAGCAACAATAAATAAATCAAATAAAAATAAATAACAGCAATTGCGTTCATGCCTAACTAATGAGCTGGACACACGTGGTTGCCGGGCTATCATCGGGTGGCACAGGGATTCCACGTGTGGGTGGGGGAGGAAGAAGCAGCACATAGATTGAGAGCGGGTTACACACTTGACATAGAGAGCCGGAGATTCCCTCCACTCCATAGCTGGATAAATTTAATAATCATTAGACCTTTTAGTTAACACGGCGATAGGATTGTCGTAAGTCTTGGTTTTGGTCTTTGGTCATTAAAATTTGAAACCGATATAATGTTTTTTGTGTTTCTCTACTATCATTTGATAAAAATTGAGTGCTCTTGTCATTTTATTTTTTATTTAATGAATATTTTTTATAGAATAACTTAAATTATTAATGATGAAAAAAATTCAAAGATCATTTGTAACATTCCACATCGTTTAGGGAAGTGGACCATGTAAGTTCTTATATTTATATTCTCATCTCTATCTAGCACGAGTCCTTTTGGGAGCTCACTGGCTTCGTAGCGCGTGAGAGAATTCCTATGATGGATGACCCACTGAGAAGTTCTTATGTTAGTTCTAAAAAATAAAACCGTGAAGACGTAATCATAGCCTATTCTATCGATATCAAATCTTAAAAATAAAAGTAAAAAGTAATACCATTCGCTGAGATGATGTTGGCTTAAAAAACCCTTATTATCATGGAGAAATGGGAAAATTGAAATTAAAGATTGAGTGCAGTGAGTGGAGTGGACCAGCGTGAGTTGGCTTGGAGAGGGGAGAGGGAGAGAGTTGGTCAGACTCAGGAGTCTGGATAGGTGGGGTCCACTGTTCCTATTCATCCACGGTCCTGGAAATGGCGTCACCTTGGGTCCGAGCTGGCAGTGATACCAGGCTGTACCCAGCTGTCTCCCAACCCCAAAATAAATAAATCAAAAAATACGATGCCCTTTGCACTTTCCAATTTAGAAAACTCCAAATCCAAATCCAAATCAGAAATCAATGGCAGGAGCAACACCATTTGCCCTAAGACTCAACTGAGAAAGGGAGAGAGGCACGGGCGCATTAGCATTTCCTCTTTGATTTTATTTTGCTGGTGAAAAATGGATCCATGCCCATTTGTGCGGGTCATGGTGGGCAATCTCGCTCTCAAGATCCCCGTCGCCTCCAAGCCCGCTCGCTCCGTCGTTCACCCTTCCTCCTCCCCATGCTTCTGCAAGATCAAGCTCAACATCCTCAACCTCCCCCCTCAAAACGCCGTCGTCCCCTGCCTCCCTCCAGACACCCAAACCCTCGACAACCCCGCCACCGCCGCCACCTTCCACCTCAGCAAGTCCGATCTGGACCGCCTCGCCTCCAAGTCCATTTTCGCATCCAGGCTCTGCCTCAAAATCTCCATATACACCGGCCGAAGGGGCACCACTTGCGGCGTCAACTCCGGGAGGCTTTTGGGCCGGGTCTCCGTGCCGTTGGATCTGGCGGGAACGGAGTCCAAGCCCAGCGTTTTCCACAACGGATGGGTCTCCGTGGGGAAAGGCCCCAACAAGGGTGGGTCGGCGGCCCAGACCCAGTTCCATTTGAATGTGAAGGCCGAACCCGACCCGAGATTTGTTTTTCAGTTCGACGGCGAACCTGAGTGCAGCCCGCAAGTGTTTCAGATCCGAGGCAACATCCGGCAGCCAGTCTTCACCTGCAAGTTCAGCTTCCGAACCTCCGCCGACCGCACTCAGAGATCCAGGTATAATTCCCTTTTTTCCAATTTAGGGTTTCAGTGTGATTTTCTATTTGCTTTAGGACGACATTTTGTTCCATGTTCGTCTGAATTAAATCCTTCAAGCGGACTCTGATATCGTTAAATCTCTTTACGTAGCTTCCAAGCCCAATTTTTAATCCAAGCGAACGTTTGTTTAGTCTTTTTATTCCCATTTTGCCCCTCTAATCTTCTAAATTTTCAAGAGATAGGGTTCTAACAGATTCGAATTGTTTGATTCATGATTCGTTGCGTTTTGAATGCCAATGGCTCAAATCACAAATTAATTTTTGTATTCCCATTTTGCCCCTGTTTTCAGGTCTTTACAGTCGGAACAAGGCAGCTCTCGAAGCTGGCTGAGCTCGTTCGGGAGCGAACGAGAGCGACCCGGGAAGGAACGAAAGGGCTGGTCCATAACGGTCCACGACCTCTCCGGGTCGCCTGTCGCTGCGGCCTCGATGGTCACGCCCTTTGTGGCCTCGCCCGGGTCGGACCGCGTCAGCCGCTCCAACCCTGGCTCCTGGCTCATTCTCCGGCCCGGCGACAACACCTGGAAGCCCTGGGGCCGTCTCGAGGCCTGGCGCGAACGAGGTGGCGCTGACGGCCTGGGATACCGATTTGAACTCATCCCCGACACCAGCGGCGCCGGCATTGTGTTGGCCGAGTCCACAATCAGCTTAAACAAGGGCGGCAAATTCGTCCTGGATCTCGGGTCAGGGTCCAGTAACCGACTCGGCCCAAATTCTCCGGGGTGTAGCCCGAGGGGGAGCGGGGACTTCGGGTACGGGTTGTGGCCTTACAGCATGTACAGAGGGTTCGTGATGTCGGCGAAGGTGGAGGGGGAAGGGAGGTGCAGCAAACCGGCGGTGGAGGTGAGCGTGCAGCACGTGAACTGCACGGAGGACGCAGCGGCTTTCGTGGCGTTGGCCGCAGCCGTTGATCTGAGCATGGACGCTTGCAGGCTTTTCTCGCAGCGGCTGAGGAAGGAGCTGTGTCAGCAGTCGGATCTGGTCGGCTGACTCGGATAGGGCCACGTCGCCTTTTTATGGGGTTTTGGACCTTTTCTTGTAATTTTGGAGGGAGTGGAGTTTGGTGGAAGATTTGATTTTTATTAGTACTACTAACAAACGGACTGATGAGAGAGAATGTGTAGGTGTATATAGTGAGAGAGGTAGACAGGGCACGCTTTGTTTTTAATCGTGTGGCTTGTGTTTAATTTTTCCTTTTAGTTTTTTAAATGGAGGGTTTGATTTGGCTGTAATTTTTGTTTTTTTTTTATTTGAAGATATTGTAGTTACTGACTTCGAAAAAAAAATATTTGATGTTAGTTTAGTTTTGGATTAATGAAATAGTTGGAGTGTTGGATCCGCCTTGTGATCTAATTGTTGGCAGCTAAAACGCATTAATTAATTTTATGTTAGTTACTTTTCTGTGTTTGTAGTTTGTATAAAGTAGTAATTAAATGATTGAGTTTATGGATACTCAATTATGTATGGAATTGAAAAGGTTGGAGGGAGGTGTTGAAGATTTGGGCAAGGGATGGCCGTGCATGCAAGTGGCAGATTATTTTGGTAGTTAGATTTATTTTTGTGGTTAGATTTTTTGAGTCACTTACATAAAATGTATTCATCAAACATATCATCTCAATTTTAATAATGTAATGTCATCTTAATTTAATAATGTAATGTCATTTGACGATAAAACGGTTTGATGGCGAATCCATTATGTGGCATTATGTTGGTAACTTGGTATCTATCGAATACTTTTTACGAATCTATTGATTACATTCTTACCAAAAAAAAACAAAAAAACAAAAACAAAACTCTTTTGTCAACCAAAATGTGGAAAGTAGTATATAAGATGTTTCATTCCGAGATTTGACGGTTAGTAAATAGCTTGACGGAAATGCATGACTTTGATTCTTGCTTACTCTAGTTTCAAATTTGTAAACATGCCCTTTCTTCCTTCCATGTAAACCAATTTATTAAATTTCCTTACCCTTTTTAAATTTCTCATACTTACACACATATTGTGTGAGTTCTAATCTAGTTCAAATTTATAAAAACCAAAATTTAAACATACGAAGGGCCATGCGCATTGCTCAATCAAATAGCATATATGACACTCGTTATTTATGTGAGACAAATCCAATGTGAGATATCTTCCTAACTTTGTTCCTAACTATGTGCTCAGCCCGGTTCAGTACAAATTAAATTTAAGGTCTGTTTGATATCCATTTCGTTTTCAGTTTATTTTTTATTTTTTTTTTAACTGAAATCTTGTTTACTACTTGAGTTTTTTAAATTTGGCATTGAGTTTACTTTTTTGTTTTCAGGTTTTAAGTTTTTAAAAATTGAAACTATCAAACTATATTTTTGCTCTCACTATCTTATTTATCACTATTAGATAAATTTAAATTTCGATATTTGTGTAGTGAATAAATACAATCTTAAAATTTAAAACTTATTCAATCGTAATAAGTAGCGTGGTGAACACATAAATTGTTAATTAATGTGGATGATAGCTGTAATGCGCCTATGGACTGGTGTTTGGCTTTGTTTGGTTGTGAGGATTAATGATATTCGGCGATGAAGAAGAATATCATAGTTTTGTTGTGATTTGTTATGACTTTTGTAGCTGGCAGCCATCATTATTTAGACTACGGGATCCCTTCTTAGTTTAGCTGACTTCTAGAATTAGGATATTGGTTAAGTGAGCAGGTATTTCATAAAATAATAAGAAATGTAAAAGTATTTAACACAATACAATATTCAAATGATATAATATAATTTCTGGTTCTTTTAGGTACCGTTTGGTACGTGGGACGGGACGGAACAAAGTGGGACAAGGCGTTCCGTCCCACGTTTGGTGCACCTAAAACGGGTGGAACGAGCTGTTCCACAGGACGAGTTTTGGGTGAATTTTCGTTCCACCTCACCTCTCTGGAACGACTCGTTCCAAATCCGTGGAACACAAAATTATAACCTCTCCGTCTCCTTCTTCTTCCTCCTTGTTTCCATCCGAGGGCATCTTTGCTCCCGCTTCGTTCCGTCTTGTCCCGTCCCGTCCCATTCCGTTCCGTCCATCTTGTCCCGTCTGCATACCAAACGATACCTTAAGGACAACCTGATATTATTTTACTGTACAACGAACATTATGATCCAAACTAATCATTTTTTTTTATCATTATTATTAGATAATCACTAGAAAAACTTATTTAATTTGAAAACCTAAATACCTATCCATGTGTGTCGAATAAAAAATTGAGTATGGTAACTGTAGTAGTATTCTCATGAATAATCATCATTTGTTTCTGTTGACCCTAAAAATTACAAAGCCTACGTGGTGCGCAGGCCGAGTAACTAATCAACTAACTATGTCCTTTGGTTGAATGCAGGGCGTGCCAACTCGTCAACCAAGGAGTAAAATTTGTTGGTGTTGCGTTGAGCGCGTTGCTGACTTCTTTATCTTGCGACTGCGGCCGAGGAAGGAACGAATCTCGGCCTTCGAATTCTCGAGCCTGAAGACAAGGCTGCTAGTTCTGTGCAGTTCACAAGTCGTCGGTACCCGATTCGGTCTCCGTGATTATATTCGTAAGAGTATAAGCACGTCGAATCGACACCAGACTATACGGACACAAATATTCAAAGGTGATGTATGTCTTGATGGTGAACATGGTTCGGCCGTCAAAATGCCGAACTCTAAAACTCACTTGTGAATATCCAATCATAAAATCACTAGGCGTCCGATACGCCGAATGTCGTAACTCGTAACACCTTACTTCGCTGAGAAGGCTGGTAAGATGACCCCGGCCAATAAGGATTCGAAAACCCTCCTCGGCCGAGACTTGGATAGGTAACTAGTCAGCCTCGACGCAATGTTGTTTATCTAAGCTGAAGGTGCTCCTCGGTCGGCTGATTCTACGATAACAATGCTGTTTATCCAAACTGAAGGTGTTCACCGGTTGCCTCCACAGTGCTGTTTATCCAAACTGAAGGTGTGTCGGCGAAAACAGAAAAGGAAAAATCTCAAGGTGTTTGAAAGGTTTTGCGCAGGACAATTGTATGTTGAATTCAAGGTGCCCTTCTTTGTTGCATGACTTCTTGTATTTATAGCACCTACTCCTTGAGACCGAATTAAACCCCTATCTGGATTGGGAGTCCTTGCCCCGTTCCAACTTTGCTTCGAACAACCCCACTCCCATTAGGACTTTGAACTCACCCCCTTTGGAGCTTTATTCACTGCTGGTCGAGATTCCTAGTTGCACCAGGACTTCCTCGACCTTCTTTGTTTATCTGGAACTACTACTTGCGATAGGACTCGACCATCCCTGCTAAACGGCCCGGGATCATCAAGCGGCCTATAGTATTTTGACCCAGCTTTGGGCCGAGCACAAACCTACACTCGGCCCAACAATATTATTTTGGGCCCAAACAGTTTCATTCACTTTATTCTTTATTTATTTTTCATTAAAATTCAAATTTTTCAAATTTTTTTTCATTAGTTTTTATTTTTAATAATTGTAGACCTATTATTTGGGCAAATTCCAAGGGTTGGTGGCATTGGGTGCCATGAATCTCGTCGGAAGAATTTGGTGTTGTGTGTTATGCAATTTGGCATTGAAGCGGGGAACGATTTTATTTTGTTCATGAAATGGACTTAATAATATCACAATGAGGCCGACAAGTAGGGGTGGGCGACAGCCAGTCGGACTCGAGAAATACGTACAAAAACTGGTGGGCAACAACAATTTTACCGTCGGGACTCGAGAAATAATCACGAGGCGGAGTCGGAGTCACGTTCACCCTGCAGTTTTGCAGCAGCAATCAGTGTCTTTTGTTGGATTGGGCCGGGTGGAAGACCAGCGATAGAGGGAGCTGTTAAAAGCGTTTTTATTGTAAAAAGGAGTAAACGTAGGGTAGGGAGGACGTATTACTATAGTCTAGGCCTATACGGCATAGTCCCTGGGGGCCACTATACGCTCAATTCTTTTTTAATAATTTTTTTTTTTTTAAACAAAAAGTATTATTACTCACAATAAATTAGTAATAATATGATTTAAGTTCGTTTTTGGTGATAATCAAATATAAATCTTCTTAATTACAAGTGAAGACGAATACTACTAGACCGTGATACTAAGTGTCTACTGTAGGCTCACTTTAATTACTGAGTTACTCTGCTTTCTATGAGGAAAGATTTTTCAATGTGATTAGTGTAAGAGTTGTACAAGACGTATAATTATATAATTGGAGGCACACTTAAAAAAAATTCATGATTTATATAATAACAAGTGGCTACTACTTTGTATTCTGAACACACTGAATAATCTTTCCTCTACCAGCATTTTTAAATAGCAGATAAAATATCTCTGATGCACGTAAGATTTAAAACTCATATTTGAGTTTTGAGCTAATGTTGGATACAAGTTTCCTAATTGTGTCATGTAAACAGTTTTAGCGGACTTTGTCGGTAGAAGGCAAAGTAACACACAACTTGATTTTCGACGGATATACAACCATGCGCTTATGCATCTTGACGAGTATGAATAATTATCCGCGGTTATAAAACCTCATATGGTTGAAATTTGTACAATGCTTGTGTGCCAAGTTAGTGAGCATAAAAGTTTCCCTAGAATTACTTGTTGGTTCAAGAAAATCTGTATACTTTATTGGGACCAAATTCAAAAAATCTGTCCACTTAAACTTCTTGTTGTTCCGTGAATGTGGCTCTTTAATTTATAGACCCTCTTTCTGTAACATTTACTTGAAAGCTGCACTATTTCTCGCGTGATATGGAATACAGTCAGCACTAAGATTGGATTGTGGACTTTTCTCACGAGTGACGATCCTCGTCATATTATTTTTGTGAGAATCCCAGAGATCCTTCAATTACATCTGTTCATCGTACATTGTGCAATCAGTTTTTGTTAGTTACTGTTCATATTCAATTTTAAATATACAAATTTAGAATGATTTTTGACTGCACGATGTACAATGAACATATATGATTGGAGGATCTGGCGAGGATCCTCCTGGTTTTCTCACAGACCTGGAGACAGGTTGGGATTGTGTTTTGTTTTGTTTTGTGTACCCTAATTCTTTAGGGATAGGTAAAAATTGGCATACTCGGAAGCTTGTCAAATTTATGATCAAAGCCTAATTTAGTTGAACAAAATTTCAAGGGATGTAAAGAGACTCGAATTTGGGGCCTCTTCCAACACTAAAAGGAGAAATATAACTATTTAGGTAAATTGATATTGCTTCTCAACTTATCTGTGACATCCCGTCCCGAAATTATCTAAAACGTGCGTGTGAAATGACATTTTTACCCCTAGATCGTTTCTTTTACGTTATTGGTTGTTTTGTGGGGTGTTGGCAAGTGT